TATACTGTATTATGATGTTTATGTAGATGGAGTAAGTGAGTGAGATATCAAATGGCCTATGTCAATAAGAGCTTAGTAGCAGTAATGATGATGTGAAAATTGAATAGCTCCACTTAATGAGTGTACCATACAGCGGCAAATATTGGCAGGGAAGGTGTGATAAGGCCAATATAAAATCTGCCATTTTAGTTAATCCTGACCACATGTGGTCACTAAGAATGTTTGCCAATATAGATTTTGTCAATTATAATTTTTTAGCAAATTTCCAAATAATAATAACTCCCATCAATATTTCTGACTGTATAGTATTTAACTTACTGTATGATTCATTGTAGATTAAGGAGTTATATGAAGCTGCTGCAAGAGGTGATTCTACTGGTGTCCAGTCTGCATTGTCTCAAGGAGCTAATGTAAACTACCAGAATCCTAAAAAGGTAACTACTGCAGTATATGCATACATGTACATGTACAGCATGCTGTTATGATGATAGCCTGCTGCCCTTGGACATGGGTCAGGTATACATGTACATGTATACTGTAACAGACGCTTCTAACTATCTGTTAACCAAACTTTATTCTTAATCAACACGAAACTCAACTGAGCTCAAAACAAAAAACTAACTCACAACTAACACACAACACACTTATATAGATCTTATAAATGTCCAGAAGGTTCTATAACATACAAGAATACTTTACATGATTGTTCTAGAATATACTTGAATAAACACATAATATATAATTACAATAGTACACAGAGAGTTCCGGATCCATTTAGAAACAACTTCTTACATTTCCTCCCTTCCCCTCTGGCACGAAGTGCTCTTCCTCTCCAATCTAGAAAGTGCATCTGCATTTGCATTTGCTACCCCTTTCCGATGTTGTATAGTGAAATTATATGGTTGCAGAATCAAACTCCATCTAGTCAATCTTGCATTCTTCTCTTTAAACTTGTGTAGCCATTGAAGAGCTCTATGATCCGTTTGAATAATAAAAGATCTCCCTATGAGATATGCACTGAAATGCTTGATGGCTAGAATAATAGCTAAGCACTCTTTTTCGACTGTCGAGTATGCTTGTTCTCTCGGGAGTAGCTTTTTACTAAAATAAGCAACTGGTCCCTCATCTAAATTCTCCTCTCCTTGACTAAGAATTGCACCAACTCCTACTCCTGAAGCATCAGTTTGCAATATAAATGGTTGGTTGAAGTTCGGATTCTTCATTAATGGTGCTGTAGTTAATGCTGTTTTTAGCTTCTGAAATGCCAATTCTGCCTTCTCAC